AAATAAAAAATAAAATTTATGCAAATAATATAAATTTATTAAATTTTGCTAAGAGGTAAGTTACAATTATCCTCTCCTCTGATTTATTAATTAACTAAAAATTTTGTTTAATTATTTTGTTTAAGCACATCTTATTATATTAATTGGTTCATTGTATTATTTTTTTATTGATTTTTAAGGTATGGAATCAATCTTCCACTTTTCGAGAATATATTCTACAAAATAAAAAGAGTTGGGTATATTGAAATAGATAAGCTGTTGAAAGTAAAAGTAGTTTAAGTTACTTTTCATCTATATTAAGAAATTTACACCTAAAGTTAAGTGCAATTTAAAAACTACTGTGGCTTTATTATTGTTTTTATCATCGGCAAATATTCTTATCTCTCTACAACAAATATTAAATAATGCTGTCAGGAACTGAAATTCAACAGCAATATAGTTTTTGGAAAAACTAACTTATACCACTTTCACTTTCAACAGTTCAAATATGAAATCCAAAAAATATCTTTTAAGAAGAGCCTTTTAAAGTTTCTCAATATTGTTTATATCATCAACTATTCAATAAATATACAGGGTGGTTCCAAAGTATGGGGACAAACTTCAGGAGTGGATTTGTGGCAAGACAAAGAACAAAAATAATCATATTAACATGTGTATGAAAATGCACTGCTTGTCAGAAGACCTGTTTCATAGTCCTCCTGGTCACTGAATCCCAATCCTCTTGATTTGTGACTATTGCATGTGGTGCTGTTCAGATACAGGCCAAAACCTTCAAAAGAGTGCATCAGTTCATGTTACAACATGTGACTACTTGTATTGAGACTTATGGAGGTCACTTCACAAGTATCTACTGTGATTCTGCCAGAGCTATATATGCCATATTGTTATGCAACATTACATCTTGTTGTTTGCAGTTTGTAATGTCCAGTGATGTCATCTATCTCAGCACCAGTGCAATTCTGGGAATACAAATCTTCAATATGTTGAAATCATTAAAACTTATCAAAATTCTTGTTCAATTCAGTCAACAAAACTCATATGTCATTTAGGAAAAAAAAAAAAATTCAAAAAACTGGATCAGTTGTTGATGCACATATTCCAACATGAGTTCAGTGACAGGATTATTTTGAAAAATGCAGTTTTTAATTGGCCACAACAATATTGTGATTTAACTCCATTGAATTACTTTTAATGGGGTTACATTAAATCTCTTGTTTCTTCCAACAAGACACAAACTATTGACAACCTTAAAATGAATATCATTTGTGTTATTGGCAAGATACAGACTGATTTATGTGCTAGAGTCGTTGAATATTAGATTAATCATATTCACTCTGTCAAATGCCATCATGGAGCCATTTAAATGATATTGTTTTTCATGTGTAATGCCACTAAATATGTTAGAAAATAAAACATTAGCTTTGTACTTTTCATTTTATTTCAATTCAAAATTCTATCACTCTTATTGAAACCATATATATATATATATATGTATATGAATTGAAAATATATAATTGAAACCATATATATATGGTTTCAATTATATATTTTCAATTCAAATATGTATATATATATTATATAAAATGAAAGTTATGTTCAATTTATGAAATGTAGCATTTAATATGCTGTATTTACTCGAATATAAGATAATCTCGCATATAGGACAAGGTGTGACTTTAAAGATCAAAATAAAGAAAATTAGATTTATTAACAACAGAGTTGTGCTGGTCATCATTGGAAGTTCTTATGTAGTTAATTGGGGTCTCCTTCCCCTAAAGTTTCCATATCTGGTCTCAAATTCCAACCATCTTATTCTGTTCTCAAGATTAAAGAAAAACAGCCGGACGAATGGATGACAGTGGGAATTTATAGGTCTACAATTATTTCAAATTACAGCCTAAAAATATATAATAAATCGATTTATTTCACTTACGTATCGATCAATCTTCCAGCGAAACCACCATTCCTTTATAGAATCATCTGTTGTGACAAAGAGTGCCTTCCACGGTCGAGTAACAAATATTTTTTCAAAGAAAACCTATAAAATAAAAATTACAATAATTTTTAAAACTGCAATGATTTATATTGTAGTTTTGCAATTTTTATTGTAAACTTACCTCCGACATATATAATACAGTTACAATGCTAAATAGAGCTACAAACTTCAAAACTATATATAAATACTGCAAAGGGTTAACTGAAACAAAAAATTGGCAAATTTATTACTATAATCTCTACTCTACAAAATTAAAAAAAAAAAAAAAATGTATATACCTTCTGCAGAAGTACTAGTCACGTGTGGTATTGTTGCCATTGTAACATAAATTATTAGAAACCAAAATGATACTAATGGAACAAAGTAATAAAATTGGTATGGCCTGTTCATGCACAGGCAGAGTGTTACTACAAGGAGATTTAGACGAAAAAGAACCTTAAAATAAATGCATGAAATATTTGTTCTATCAAAAAGTTTTAATACATATTTAGCAAATTAAAATAAGCATATCTACCTGCCAAAATCTTATAAGGCCATAATCACCTGTATGCCAAAAATATGTGAAATGACCATAACCAGTGAGAAATAAATATGAAGTAACCAACACTCGAACATGCATATATATTGGTAAAACCTATAAATAAAAATTGAAATATTTTTTATTATTATTAATAAAAATATTTAAGCTTTATTGTTGCTGGAATAATTTAAATTAAAATAACTGACAACCGTTTATGCAAATACAATCCATGTCCAAAAAGTTCTCGGACTGACACTATTCACATTAGCAATAATGTTTGTGACAGGATACACAATCATTTAGGAATTAAGTTATAAATTTTTATATTGTATTAATTTGGCTAATTGATTCTGAAAAGTTGTAGCCAAACATCATATAGTTTAGTCAAATTGAGAAGGTATAAAATATTACACATTTAATGTTTGTTTCTTGGCAAAATTAGGCAACAAAATTTGTACCCAAATACAACAATTTGTTACCATTTGGGGCTAAAGAACTAGAAGTAACTTAATTCCTACATTATTGCTAATGATCACATTCAAATAATTTACTCCAACAGTGATACACTGTTGCTGACATCCTGTAAGATTGTTGAAAAATCTTTGTGAAGCATTTCCAGTAATGCTTCACAAAGTTTCTTCACAAACTTCAATAGCCAGAATTTTCTTTTGGGGCTCATTCCAAAAAGTTTATTTGGTGGTGGCCTGAAGACAAAGGGGTTAACATCTTGGTCTTCAGTCCATCATTTTGCTGCTGATAGCAGGTTTCTACTGAAATTCAGAAGGAGCTTTAGCCTCATAAGCTTCCTCCCTACTTTTGTAGGCTACAAAGGCAGGGAGGAAGATTATGAAGCTGCACACTGCCTGAATAACTTGAATGTCAGCATGGCAATAGTTTGCAATGCTTTTGAAAAGTATTAATATAATGTGTTTTTCTATATTATCATTATCATTCTAAAGATAACTGTTAAAATGATAATTTAAAATTTATTTTGGAGAATTCTAATCACCTGACTAGCACCAGTCATATGATAAATTAATATAACTAGTTGCATCCAGCCTTTCCATTCATCCGTCTGATCTCTATGTAATACTTTTGTCTGTAAAAAAAATGAACACTTATGATTACAGGGTCTTTCCAATTTTTGGTGCAAGATGATTTAATAATTATAAAATTACAAAGATTAAAAATTAATATTCATTGATCTCATAAAAAAATGTTTTTAAACAAAATAAAACTTCTAAATTAATTTTTAACACAGTAGTAGTTTACTAATTTGAGACTTAATAATCCAGAATATCCAGTAATCTGACACTTTCTGAATAGTAGTTAACAATCTGTCAATATTCTACAAATTGGAATTCTTTTTAGACATGTGGCATGCTAAAGACCCTGAACTGAAAATTGAAGTGAAGATGGATGTGGCTAGACATGTCAGATGATCAACTTCAGAATCAAGTGCAGCATGATTGAGAACAATGATTTATTTTTTACAGCGCTTTGTTATGAAGAGTCAGACGCTTTCTGCCATGCTTTCCTGTGCCTAATACATGTTTATGTTGCAATTGCTAAACTAACTGGTGCAAATATCTAGACTAAATTCTATAAATAAAAAATCACCCTACTCATATACTAATCAAGGCAACTAGGAAAGAAATCCAAGTAAGGCTTATCAAATAAACTGAGGTAACATTTCGTCAGAATTTCATCAAAATGATGTTTTCAGCAAAACAAATGACCAAAAAGAACATGATCTAAGGAAAAATTGATGGTTACACTTGAGTCTATAAAGGCCCTCCTTTATTAATTCCAAATAAATAGATATAGGTGAAAAAAAGCCCAACAGAACCTCGACAAAACTACCCAAGATTATAGACATGGACCGTGATAGCAAGGTATGCAGTATACTGAAAACTTTGTTACTTCAAAAATAGTAGAATTTCTACACCGGAGAAATGTAAAATGCACATACCTATAAGCCTTTTACCGGTGTGTATATTTTGGTTCAGAGACGCACACCGGTAAAAGGCTTATAGGTACATGCATCTTTGTTACTTCATTTGATAATCCTTGTGTAGTACTCTAGGCCACCAAATTATGGCAGCATTGGCAATTTTTGGTCAAACAACCATAGTATAAACCCAAAGTAGGATATGAAGTTGCAAACCCAAAGATTTATTAGGAATATTTCTATACAACTAGAAGATAAGTCTGGCTTTTCTTAGCACCACTTCCAACTACAAAATCCATGAATGGCTACAGTTAAACAATACCTAAAAATGCTTAACTGAAGAATAAAATTGTGAAAAGGGACTCTTAAAAGTCCCTCCTGCAAGTAAAAAGAATAACAACAATTTCATCAGGACTAATGTTCAAGCTATAATGCCTTGAACTAGCTCTACAAATGAGACAAATCCTTTCAAAGAAGGTCCACCAGAGTGCTGGAAAATTTCCCAACACAGAGCAGAACAATATTATTTACATGATGCATGAGATAGGTTGCCACTACTCAGGCTCAGAACTATTATCAGTATTAAGATCTCTAAGACCATCCACGATAAGCCACCACAGCAAGAGTTAAAAATCATCACCTTGAAGGCAGCCTTGCACAACAGATTCTCTTAAGGAAATTCCAAAAAGAGAGCTCACTATACTGCAATGACCAAACATAATGTCAGTCAAGTAAAAAAAATTTACAAAACATTTTAAATATTGTATTTTTAATTGTTTTTAGATTGTCACTGGAGAACTGTTAGATTTTTGCATGTTTATGCAGGGGCATAGCCTGTAAAGAAAGGTTATCTCTGCAGTGAAAGACTGTCGTTCCTGGTGATTGGACATGGGAAGAGTGAAGACATTTTAGTCTTTCTACATATTTTTACTAATGTGTAGATCCGTCAGCCAATTTTTTTAAATATTAAATCATATTAACTGGCTGCTAAGCCAAATGCTAGATAGGCACAATAGATATGACAAAGAATAGGAGCCAAAATATCAGCTCCAAACTATAGGTGAGCTAGAATATAATCATCAAACCCATAGATAAATAATTTAATTGCACATTTCATATTAAAAGTGGAAATCATCATTATAGCCAAAGTCCACGATTTCCTAATGAGTCTAAATAAGGGCTTAATAAACACCAAAAATTCACTAGAATCATCAGTTCTAGAGCCTGGAACATGCAACTCAAGTAAACAAAAGTTAGTTTCCCAAGCAGAAGTGAAGGACTTGTGACTGGAAAAAATCAAAAAAGTTTAGAGCAGAATTCCTTAACTAAAATCTTCATAAGGCTGAAATTGCTAAAAACATTACAAATAATTGAGCAGTTCCACCATGAAAATTTTTTTTCCTTCTTAGAACTTTTTTGTACTGAATGAGAGCTTTACAATAAACCTCCCACTCATCAATACATTTAGCTTGATTGACCTTCCAAGTATAGGACCCCAGAGAGCTAAACTCCTTGTCCCACTAATGAATCAAACAATGAGTGAGCAAAAGTGATCTATTTTGGAAGACAACCACTCTTTGCATAATAAATCTTTCCTGGGTTACAAAAAAACCCACCCTTTTTAAGCCAAATAAGAATAAATATAAAACACATCATCAATCTGCTTCTTTAATCATAACAAGCCAAAATGAGATCTAAAATTTCTTCATTCCTGGAAGTTTCATATGTAGGCTTGATGCCTTGATTCAAAATAACAGGTCAGCATGTATCAAGATATCTGAAGAAAATTTTCTCTGGAATTATTTTCTTTCATTCCAGATGCTGCTGTGTGCATTTTCACCATAGCCAATTAGGAGAGAAAGATGACTGGTGGAAAAACTCCAAGAATGTGACAGGCAGGTTATAAATTGTAAGGAAGATAAACAAGAAAACTAAAATCTCGTTGACACTGTCTCCTACAACCAATAAATATATGGCAACCAGATCTAGTGACCAGAAATCTATGTTAAAAAAAAATATCTGAATCCATTTACAGACAAAAGTGCAAGTTTTACAATCCTTAACAGACAGAAGATAGGAGAGTATGTAAATTATATAAACCCTAACTTGACCCCTGAATATCCAGGGTTCCTATATTACAGCTGTATCAATATCCTTCGCAACTAAGCACTGCAAAAGCTGCCATACAGAATTGGAGATTAATTTGGATAAATTTAATCATAATGAAGTTTTACTTCTACAAAGAGCTCACACTGTATGCCAGTAGCAGCAAAGTTTCAAAAGCTACTGTTATGAGTCAGCAGCAGAAGTCTCCAACTCATCCTTACATGTAACACAAGTTAAGTAAGTATTATCTATGTAAGATTTTGAATTAAAAGAAATACTGGTTAACACTTGCAGTGTTCCAATGCAGATGCAAGGCTAAATACAACAGAATATTTAGCCTTGCTAAGAAAATTGTTTGTGACATCAATTATACCAACTAGTTACCTTCCAGTCATTGACACACTAGTGGAGGACTTTCACCTTGGCATGGTGAGTGCCCTCTTACATGAACCCAGCAAATGAGGAAGACCTCGAGACACCGCAGCACACATCATGAAGCCTCCATTATGAAGTGGAGACACAATAGATGGGAATGCTTGTACAAAATTGTACTGTAATGTCCAGATCACATATAACATATAAAATTCTGCAAAAATAAAAAACTGCTGGCAGTCAGTACGTGTGATAATCTGGCATTATTATGGTTCCATAGTGTCCCAGATTAACAAACTTCTACTGTAAAACCAAAATCTATTAAAATTAATGAAAATACTTTGGCATTAACACTTACATATTGGCTATCTTCAGTAAAAAATAAGCCAAGAGCAAATACGTATGCAAATGGCAAGAAGAAATTAAGGTGTGTATAATATTTATTTTCTTTCATAAAAAAATTTGTCCTGAAATTTATAACATATATAAAAGATTATTTTATTATAAATTTATTTTTATTAAAATTAATATTTAAATATAAAAAAAATAATTATCTTAAAATTCTTGTTTTACTTTAAATGCATAGTTACTTTTATATTTTGATGTAATATTTAGATCTTATTTATATAACTTGATAACATTTTTTTTAACATAATGAAATAAATCACTAAACATATTATATAAAACACTCTTCTCTTAATAAAACAGCAAAATAATTAAACTACAACACAAACTTAAATGAAATATTAAGAGAATCTAATTTACTTTTTCCAATCAGCATCATATTAATACAATCAACAAAATATATAACAGAACAGATCAAAATGGCATTATTATTATTTAAATTTTGCTTTCTCTACAATAAAAAAATCAATAAATACTGAACCAGAAATAAGTTATATATATGTAATCTTATGCAAATATAATTAATTCTATAGAGCTTTTTCAGCAAAGAATCCTTAAAAGTCCCCCCCCCTTTTTTTGTTTACTATCTTAATAAGCATGAATTATTTTCTATAAAACTTTCAATGTTTATTTTTAAAAAAAATCCATTGAAAAGTCCAATTCCTAATTTGCCAAAACTCAAAAAAAAAATAAAGTTTTTTCAAAAAATTAAAAATTTATTTTGCTTGAAACCATAATGGTTAGGATGGTAGTACATAAATACAATTTATTGTGGAACTTTTAATTCACTACAATGACTTAGGATAAATTATACAGTATATTAAAAATGTACTGTTGAATGTAAAAACTGAAAAATACATACATCATCTAATATAAAAAGTAATTTGAAATTTAGGACAGTAATTTGAAATTTGTGTATTTGCTACACAAATTTAAAAAAGTGCTGAATTAGTATATGTATATATAATAAAAAAGATTAGGAATAAAATCAAAAATTTCTGTAAGCTGAACAATTTTATTGCCAATTATATTATAAAAGCTTGTATGTTACTTGAAAGTTGCAAATTATACATGTATATATCTAGGCAAAGTGGCTTGGAATCCAGATAGCATTCTGATGTCATGGTAGCTTGGGTTCAGAAAGCAAATTCAAATTCTAAGTTAATATTTTCATGTAGATATTTATATATTAATTCAAATATAATCTTATTGCCAGTCTACAGATACTGTTCCCAGACTAGTAGATATTGCCCAGATTAAAAATTGCAAATGTACGCATTGTTCCATTGTTCTTTTTGATATTACTATTAAAATACAGCTATTTCTGGGCATTAAATTGTCCTAATAAATAAATCTAAACGAAAGTAAATGTATTAATATATTTTTTATAATAATATAACACTATCATGATTTAAATAAACATACAGTTTATCTTTTCCTCATCATAAAATGCCAATGTTGTCGTTTTCAATCAAACTACAGATTTATATCATCATATTCTTGATTCATTAGACTGATATTAATCCAAAAAAATCTGATATCATATCCCAGTATCTGAACTGCATTTTTGAATTTTGTTAAGTTAACAAACTACTTTTCAGAAACCAACCTGAGAAAACCTTCAATCTTTTAACGCCAGTGTACTTTCAAGCCAAAAAAAGTTGCAATAGGTTGAAGCTCCTGAATATGAGCTTCAACCTATTGCAACTATTGGTTTCAAATAAATGCACAAGGAATTCAAATGTTATGTGCATTTTCAAAACTTTGTTCTATTTTTCATTTTCATAAAAGCATCCTTAACTATTATGCATATGAATTTTTTTCAAATTGAAGTAATTCTTTTTTCCTTTTCTTTTCAAATTCCTCAAGTGCTTATATGAAACTGAAAGTTGCAGTTAGGGTGAAGCCCTAAAGATGAGTTTGACAGACTCAAAAGTACTTGATCATTATAGAAAAGGAAAGATTTTTCTCATGTTAGTTTCCAAAATGTAGTTTTTACTTTAACTTATAAAGTTCATTTGAAGACTGATTAAAATTTGTGTTTGAATTCCTGCTATAACATATGATGTTCTGTATCCATTAAGGAGTAAAGACTACCAAGTATTACAATTTTATTCAAAGTGCATTTGTAAAAAATTTAAAAGTAGGGGGAATTCCTACTGCCTATTTTCATTTGTTTTGGTGGAATTGTGTTTGTTCTCTACTATGGTTCTGGTTTTTTATAACATAATTTCAGTGCAATTTTACAAGCCTCTTAACAGTTCAATACAGTAGGTTTACTATTTGATTTGTTTATTTTCATTTTTGTGTTTTTATATAGTAATATTCTATTATAAAATACATACATTTCCTAATAAAACAAACTTATTTATTCCATTACTGCTTACAAACAACTTTTACTGGCATCATAAAGTATTCATTATTAAGATAGAGTTTGTTGTTTAGTATCATGCTAAAATCACAGGATATGTTTTGCAGTGTTTTAATATCATTTGGAAAGACTAGAAAAAGTTAAAATTTTTGCCACAAGAAATAATGAAAAATTAACTCTACAGTTTTTTCAAAAATTTCCCTTAAAAATTAATTAAACTAAAGAATAATAATAATAAAGGCATGAGATAATATATTTAAAAAAAATGAAAAATAGCTAACATGTTGAAAATATAATTTGTCTCACCTGTCACATAAGTAGAAATATGCCATAATAATACCTAATTTTCCAAGAGAAGTGAATAATTCATACCAAGAACCATTATCTGCTCCTCTAATCCTTTCACCTATTAATAATTAATTATTAAATCATAAATAAGTAATATAATAAACAATTTAAGATATGGAAATCTGTTACCTTGATTGCAATTTTCTAATAAGCTATACTGTCTAATTCTTCTTGTTTTCCATTTTTTATGTATCATCATAGCAAGACCAAGTAAGAAGCTATAAAACTTTCAAGTTTAAGTTGATAATTTCCAACTAATAATTTTGGTTTATTTAAAATTAACATACATACCAAACACCAAGAATCGAAAATGTAACAATTTGAAGAACAGTGACAGGTTCAGCACTACTACAACATGTTCCGTCATTGTAATTCATATGATCATTACAATACATATTAAGTAAAATCTGAACAGCCTGAAATAAATTTCATAGAATTATTAAAATGAAAACTTTATTAATAGGATAACACATTATGTGCAAAAATTTCACAGAAAAACAAACCATATAAGGAAGATAATATAATGTATCTTTATACAATAATACAAGCATAGAATAGTCTTGAAATAAAGGTAGTCTTAAAACGACATAGTCAAATTAGCATTTTTCAGAATCCACGCAACATGTTATAAGTACTGAACTAAAATTCTTATGTTGAAATTCAAAATTCTTTGAATATTTTCACTCAAATTCATCATATTTACAGTTATGTTAATGATTATATAAAAAAAAAGTTACAAATTGTAAAAGCAAAATTCTTAATGTATCATGCCTTATTAAAATACTGTATTTCAAAATATTGGAAAAAGAGCAGATAAATAATAAAAAAAATCACTAATTCCTTTCAGAATACCAACTCTTATCATACTTAAGAAGCATGAGACTTTTATTAAAGTTTAAGTGATTGCCACATTATAATGATTATAATGTTTTCTGGAACAATTTACTTCCTTTTATCTTATCATAATCACCATCTACACAGATTTGAACATTTTATAGCATAACAACTGACTTGAACATGAAAACTTTAAAAATATTCTAAACATGGAAACTTTAAAATATTTAAAATTTAAGAAAAATTGTTTAAACAACAAAGGCATGTTAATTTGAAAAAAAAAAATTATTATTTTTGAATAGTTATTGTGATCTGATGAAAGAACTTATATGTTTTTTTCAGGTTAATTTTTTGTCGTCTCACTGAATATCAAAATCTATAATATCAAAATCTTTAGTACCATATACAGACACTTTCTAAATGTAACATTTTTGATCTCATTGTAATTTTGATCATCACACAACCATATATGATGATTAACTTAGATTTCATCTTACTTACATAGTTAAGTGCAACTTGTCCCATATGTAAACCATCTTCTTGATCTTGATTGTAACCTTGAGAAACAAGACGTGAAGAACTCCAAACGAAAACACTACTATATTTTCTGTTAAAAAAATATATTAAATAATTAATATATTTAATATTTGATTTTTAAAATTATAAATTATAAATAATTTATAATTTTAAAAATCAAATATTTACTTACAGAATATCCATGGCAGCTTTGTTATAGAAATCTATTTGTTCGTTAGTTATCATGCTTCGAAAAGGATGAAGTTTTTCTGGAACTACAGGATCTTGAAGAACCCATAATATTTTTGTTGTTGATTTTAATTCATTCATTAATGGAACTAATTTTGTAAGATTTGATTTAAAGTCTTCTAATGCTTCCATGCTTGCATTACTTGTTCGTATACTCCAGGTGGCACTGCCCGTTACAACAACTGTTGGTCTTTTTCTAGGTTCCATTTCCACCCATTTACTATAAACTTCGTGCATAGAATGATTCATCATTGGATGCCATAAAAACTCCTATTTCAAAAAAATATAACATGGTAAAACTTCTTATCATGATTTACATTTTGTTAAAAACAAAAACAACTTACGGTATCAAGTTTTAAATCACTATCACTAAATTTCAAATCTTTATGAACTGGAGTATCTTTTGAATCAGTTTTAGAGTCTATACGATGAACAAATGCCCTGAATAACTGTCTAATTCTAGAATCTCCTATAAAAACAATATGGTTCTTTCCTCCCCAGTAATCAATATATCGCATACACATTCTAGAATCTCTGTAAGAAAAATAAAATTTTTATTCAAACATATACAATTATTGTATAGATCTTTATAGATAAATACAAAAAAAAATAACATTCAGAGCATCTTTAATGTTAATTAACAAAAAACAGTTAATTTGTAGTTTACATCAATTTAAAATCACAGACTTTTGTATCATGCTTTATTGCCTGCAGACGGCTATATTTAGTCAAAAATGTTGTCAGCAAAAAAAAAAATTGGCAAAGCAGCCAAGGAGGCTAATTCCCTAACTTTTCGACAAATTCCATAACTTTTCATGACTTTTTCCAGGTGAGTAGGAACCCTGAATATATATTAAAAATTTCATATAATACAAAAACATATCATTGGAAAATGTTAAATTCAACTACAAAGTTAACTGATACATTGCAGAGAAATTATAAAACTTCTGTGGTTGACTACATTATAATATAGCTGCATATAAGATAATATAAAGCAAAAATAATAGATATTGAAGAGCATGACATAAGCAACCACTGTATTAACAAAATTAAGGAATACAGTCGCCCCCTATAACACTGTTGATTATTCCATTTTATATGAATTTCATGTTATACGAGTCACTTAGATTTTACAAACACATGTGCCGGGCTGTGAATGGCTCATGTATTTGTAAAATCTAAGTGACTCGTACAACATAAAATTCATATAAAATGGAATAATCAACAGTGTTATAGGGGGGTCAACTGTAAATAAACAATAATCAATAAGCAATCATCATCACTATAACCTGATATATTATAAAACTAAAAGCCAACCAATAATCAATAGATATAAATATTCAGGATATCCAAAGAATATAGATAATATGTCAATTGCATCAGTTGGCTTTAAAAACTAGATACAAAAACCAAACTAAATCCTTAGAGATTTGGATAGGTAATTTTTTAGTGTTTATTACTAGAGCAGATTTATCTTATTATATTTCTCACTTTGTACTGTAAATTATTTCTGCAGCAAGTGCATTCACTTCCTTCCTTTTTTTATATCAATTTTGTGTTCTTTATTTTATTGTAAAAAAGCCCCACATGTACTTTCTATGTACCATTTCCAGACATTGTATTCTTAAGCTATACTGGAATTTTATATATTCCATTCTTTGATTCTAGTTTGAACCATTCTGTCAGTTTGATTATAATTAGTCTAAAGTTAAAGTCATTGGAAGATAGGGTTAAAAGATCTGAAAAAAGTTTTATCTAAATAAAGTGTTTTAATTATATGCATTGTATTTATTAGCACAAAGTTGCTGTTGAGAACAAATCACACAGGAAACACTTCTTTTTAATGGAAAAAGGGGGTTTTTTCAATAATTTGGAAGGATATAAATTTCAGGCTTAACACCCCTCTTCAGTCCTATTTTTTTTGTATGTGTATGTTAAATATATTTAATATATTCCGTAATTTCTTATATAGTCTCTATCAAGCATGATGGAAACTAAGTACAGTCCCATCCAAACACTTTTCAAGTTTACAAGAAAGAAATATTGGCTTTCCTGCAGCAGTTGTGATTTGCATGCATTAAGTGCATCAAGCACTAAATGCTTTGGATCTTTGCTCAGTAGTGTGTTAGTAAACTTTTTTATTGTGGAAAAATCCACAGTGAATCACTTCCACTTTCAAAAAGAATTACAAACTTTAAAGGCGATAGCATTGGGCCTTCAGATATTCACCAGAACTATTAAAGAATTTGTTGAGGAATATGGAATAGAAACTGTCCAAACCATCTAAGAAAGTTCATTTGCTGAAATTATCAAAGAGGCCTTTGTAACTGATCTACACTCCACCAGACTGTAAAGGAAGCATTTTGAGGGTCAGAACATTAAATTGAGAATTATTTGGATCTCTGCCATTTTTGACATAAGGAAAATAGAGTCCCAACAACTCAGGAAGAATGTATAAAATTCTGGTTATCAAAAATAAGGAGGTGTCAAAAGTTTGTTTACAGGAACATAGTGTGCACTTGCTAAATTGGTTGAATATTGGAAGAATCTGATAAAAGATTGCATTAGCTGAGGAGTACTTCACAAATAAATCAGCCTTATCAAACTAGAATGATGCCAAAATTATTTTGCTGCATCCCTGTCAAAATTGCAAAGATGTTGTTCATAGCCAAGATAGATGGACCTTTTATTAAACAAGAAAAAAATGTTACTGACTTGAAATCTTAGGTACGGCTAATTAAATCACCTGAGCAAAGATGGGGATTTCAGGGAGTAAAATTTTGACTACGCTGGAAATGTGATAATGCTCTTGTGATGAACAGATGATTTAGAAAGCATATATATATATATATGCCACCTGTTTTATTTTGATTTATTTTTTGGATAAAATAAATATTACATATGCTTAACTTTACACACAGACAGGTTGGTCAAACTATCTGGTATGATAAAAGAAACTTTGAAATGCAATTCTTACTTTTTGTTTTTTGATCCATGTGATGAAAGGACTAATGCCTTCATTCAAGTCTTGTTGCAAAGTTTGTTAAGTTATGTTTGATATGCTTAAGGTGTAATAAGTTGGTTAAATTTTTTTAGTATGATAAAGCTGTCATGTTTTAAGAAATAACTCTAAAATACAATTCTTATTCTTATGTTTTTTCCATGTAACAAACGATCTAATGCCTTCATTTGAATTTTTTGTCATGTTTGTTCATCAAATTCAAAGAACTTTTTTTAATTTTAAAGTGTTTTAAAGAAGGCTGTTTTTATCATGACATTTGATTGGTCTAAAGATGGAACATAACTATTACAGAAAAATTTAACCAAGTAAAAAACTTTCCTAGACTTCTGTGTTATGAGCAACTAATTTTATTTTTGAACTATTAAGTGGATTCATTTAACAAGGACTTGTGTTTCTATTTTCTAATCACTATTTTGTTAAGTAATGAAGTTAAAATTAAAACTTTAAGTTGTTTAAGGTGCAAGAGATACATGAAGTAATTGATATACTTTAAACTTCAAATAATATATTACTTATAAATTAAATATATATTTAAAAACATAAATCATTATAACATATATTCATTTCTACTTACACATTACTATACGTGTGCATCATGCATCCATATGGCTGCCATACACGATAACCTTGAAATCTACCATCGCTGAGTAGCCATTTACAAGAATCAATTCCTGAAATAATAAAATGGGTAATAAAATCATAAATCTATCAAAACAGAGTAAAAAGAAGAGAAAAAAATAAGAAGTTATGTGATAAAAGGTTAAACTTGCATAATGAATTATTTCAAAAAGAAAAAATATACAATAAATAGGAATCCGGTCATAAAATGATATAAAAATACTTTAAAAATATTTAATACTGAATATGTAAGTACAAAGCAATCATTGTCTTATTTTATGTGAGTAAGTAATGTATCCTAAATAATAATAATTTATTTATA